GACAGCGGTTAGTTTTTTTATTTTCAACCAGTAAAATGCATGTATTAGTGAAACTTCTGACTAATACTAACGGTGGTAGAGAACTCTATATGGTTCACTACGCGAATTCCCATATGTTTCTGAAAAGACGCAAAAGTAATACCCCCTCCCGTTGAGAAAGGTGACTAAAACAGGCATTATTCGAGGCATTATTATTTAAGCGTGTAATCAATTTATAAGTTTAGTAAAATAAAAGGTGTGGCAGACAGTATTAACTTTCTCATGCATTTTACACGCCTACTCTGACGTCATGACATTATACTACGTTCAGACAATAGATTGATATCAACATTATGATGTAATAAAATATGATATCAAAAAAGCCTATTACGTGATAGGATAAATGGCTCTAATGTTGGCCTATGGATCTGAGATTGGGCCCATCGCTAAAAATCTGCTATTTATTCATTTTATCTAGATGAACGCGTCATTGGGACGGTACTGAAGGATATTTTTGGTCGCTATTGAAAATTTAGTCGACTGCTGAATTTATGTATGGGACCAAATTAGGGGCATTTAGGCCGACATTACATCCATTTCCCCTATCAGCTATAGTTTGTTCAGTACACCGTTTGTAAATTCCATATTCCAGACATGGATAAATTCGCTAGATTATGTAACATGACAAATTTTCAGGGTTTTAAAATTAACAAAAAATGTCGGATATCAGATATCGAAAAACTTGAATATGCATTTACCTCAATACCCTTGAAGAACCCAATTGATAGCTTACTCATACTAAAGTACCATCGAGGGGCACTAAGACGGTGATTTATACCAATGTAATCGTACTGTTCCAGTGTTCCAAAATTGATGAAATTTTGGAAGCGCCAAACGGATGCGAGAACGAACACCTAGATCACAGACAAACAGACGTAACTCTTTGAAAAACTTGTTCTTGAAAACATAGTATCTCAAAACATATAACCTCAGTAGCGACATCTATCTGGCTTCTCGCGGAAAACAAGCTTGCTCGTCAACTCGTAAACAATATTGCATAAAAGTTCTATAGAATATATAGAAACGTCAAAGTGATCCGATGCCAGCGCTGTGGCGAGTAGTTCGCGGAACTGATAATATTCAAATCAACCGTTAAATGCATGTACGAAGATACACAATGAAGAGTTACGTCTGTTTGTCTGTGCCTAGATCATGCGCGAAGTCAAGAAGAACCCGAAGGTAACTGTCCGCGGGATCCAGGAAACCCTTCAGCTATCAGTTTCCGGTCGAACTGTTCGTCGCCGTCTCGTAGCACAGTCCCATTTATCAGAAACGGCAAACAAAGCGAAACGGCTTAAGTTTGCTAAGAAGCATGCTGATAAGCCCCTACAGTTTTGGAAAACGGTTCTCTGGGCGGACGAATCAAAACTCGAGCTGTTTAACCGAACTCAGGTTTCTTGTGTTGTGCAGAACGGGTGAGGAACTTCAGTAGTGCCACATCCAAGGCACGGTGAAACATGGAGGAGGAAATGTGATGGGCTGGGGGTGTTTTTCGTGGGTGGAGTGGGAAGCCTCGTGAAAATCGACGGGATAATGACAGGTAATGCGGCCTTGAAGAGAAGTTCGCATTTCAGCAGGACACCGACCCGAAGCATACTGCCAAGAAGGCAAAGTCTTTCTTCTGGTCTTGTCGGATCAAACTGCTGGAATGGTCTCAACGAGAATTTGTGGGCGATTCTCGAGGGTGGACCAAAGTGGTGTTACCAATAAAAAATAACTATTTTGAAACCCTGGAGCGCCCATGGGAAAAGCTAAATCCTGAAGTTCAAAGGAGAACACATTAATTATTAAATTGCTTTTCTTTTAATTTAATTTATCTTTTCTGTAGCCTAACTGAAGTGGGCACTTTGTTTTGCCACTGCTTTTTTTTCAATTCAAATTGATTTTTTTTTTCTTTTCTTTAAGTAAAACTTCCTTTTTTGGTATTCCATAAGTGAAACAGTGTGTTTACGTTAATTTGAACCAAATAAATGCCAACTGTCTATCAGTGTACCTCAATCAACTATCTTGAAGATTAATGAGACAGATTTGGCATTACGGATATGTGAAATTATCCGCGTAGGGGCTGACAGAACAAAGTTGTTATGGTTGATAACACTGCCATCTGGCGGTTGTTCCGGATCCTCCACAAACAAGCCCCAATTTTTCACAGTGCAAACCTATAACGAAACCCATCTCCCAACTACGACGGTTCGTTCGGAAATCACTTGACTCTTTCTTCTTGAACTATTGTTCTTGCTGTTGAAAACCATACTTTTCCGCATTGGCCCCGAGGGGGATCCAACAGGGAACCGAATTCCATTCCCGGGGGCAGGGTCGGGCGAAACTGCCAGCTCACTGTTTGTGTCTCTGTCTGTCTCTCTCTCTCTCTATCTATCCCCATCGTTGCTACTACTTTCTAAGAGCACACCCAGCACAATACAACACACATCGACTCTGAACGAGCGAGCGGGTATAAATCTTCAGCGCTGACTTTGAAAATGCATGTTTTGTTCATTAAAATTTATGCCTTTGCCTCTTTTGTGAAAGGAGCCTATCCTTGCGTGTACGGAAGCATGACACCTCGCTTTCCGTACAGTCAGTGGCTCGGCTCCTTGCGGATCCGTCTGGGAGTATGGGATAGCAACCATTCACATCCGAACGTCCGGTTTCGTTCTTTGATTGAGGAAAATTTTGTGCGTTTTATTGCAAAATGCTCCAACTGGGCGGAAGATGGAAATGCACACACAAATAAGAAAGGCAGTAGTAGCAGCAAAACCGAAAGCTATTTCAATTAATATCGAATTCTAAACAGCAAATAGCATTCTCCCATCCGGATCCGGGCAGCAACGAACGATGAGGCCTATCACATTGATCCGGCCGTCTGGATCTGGAGAAAGTGCACCCCAAGGATCTGCATTTAATGCCGCCTCGCTCTCCTCAGGGGATTCAATTTCAAAAACTGCACTTCACAGAACCGAATCGGAGCCTGCCTGAGTTTTTGCGGAGGAGTGCGGTTACGCCCCCTTCCCCGGTCCGGAATTTCCGACCGGCAACTCAAAATAAGAATCCCGGAGTTATGAAAGAAGAAAATTAATTTCGACCTTTGCCTGATTTCCTTCAGGGAGGGGTTTGCAAGGGAGAAGGAAGGCTTCCGGTGCGTGGCGCTACAGATTTTGCATAGATTCAGGATAAAGTGTTTGATCTTTCGGTATTGGAAGCGACAGCAGCAGCAGCAGCAGCAGAAGCTCTGGGGAAGGGAAGAAGAATTTAATTTTTCCAAGCTTTTTCGCAGAAAGTTTTCCCCTGCAAAAGCACCGAAGTTAAATTAAATCCGGCAAATGATGTGGTGATGCGAAGCTGCGGAAAAGTTCTGAAAAAAAAATTGGAATTCTATTAGTACTTACCGAGTTGAATGTTTCGAGTTCCATTGTTGTAACAAGTTAGATGAACTAGTCACTGAAATTCTAAATATTTACCATGACAAAATAATATCAAGATTCTCAAAAGAATTTCAAGAAGAACTCCAAGTAAGTTCTGATTAAATTTCGGGCGTTAATTTTAAAGAAATACTGTGTAGAATTCCAAGGGAACTCAGGAGAAACCTTTAGACATTCAGATTTGTGGTCTTGAAAACGCAAAGCGGTGAATAAAATAAGGCTTCGATGAACCTTGTCCTTAAATTTATAATGAATATTCTCCGGGTAACAAGCTGCTGCATGCCCTTTGTAAGCCGCTTCAAACTTAGGCCATTTCAGTTTGAAAACTGCTTTCAAACTGCAACACTGAACGAACTGCGATTGGAAAACAATTAATCCTTTCCTCAAATTGAAATCCACCGCTTTAGCATGGACCGAACAACGAAGTCTCGGTTCAGCAGGCGGCCTTTTTATTCCACATGGAAAACTTCCCTGTTCCCATTCCAACCACCAGATGAAAGATAACCGCTCCGCTTCCGGTGAAAGAATAAACTTTTCTCGCAAAGTTTGACCTTTGAAAATATGCGGAAAACTTTGCAATTCCTCAACCCCCCGCCCCCCTTCCTGCCTCCTGCTACATCACCCTGTTTTGTTTGTTTGTAACCATGGTGAATTTGAAGAACGGAATTGCATCAGTATGGTGAGAAATCCATTTTGGAATTTGAATAGGTACAAACTGTCAGTTGCTGCACTGTCACTGGCGCTGGTACTGCTAATCATCAAACCGAGTCAAATATTCATAGAAATGACAGCGGCAACTGAATCCGGACCGGAACACAAAGCATACCGGGCGATAATTAAAATTGGGAATACTTAATCTTGCCCCGTTCCGTACCTATTTGCTTCCAACCATGTCCATTTCCGCTCGATTGCTGGCGACGAAGAAGCCTGGGAGCAAAGGAATAGAGAGAGAGAAAGAGCCTTTGCAAAGGATGACGGCCATAAATCTTGCCGTGGAAAAAGGACTCTTTAAAAGCGCAAGGAAAACTTCGTAAACTCTGAAAAAAAATCTAAGTGAAACGGGAAGCAAATTACAGCTATTTGCTGAGCGCACAGCGGCAGTTCCTTCCAAGGATTTCACTTTTTTCGCTCTCGTCTCCTCGTCTGATGGTCTGGTCCAACGACGATGGTGAGCGCCACCACCAGGAACAGCAGGAAGACGTTAATGATAAAAATAACAATAAATGAGCCAAGAGACCTGAGGGTGACGGTGTGGCACTGGAGCAAGGAGAAGGAATTTTCCTCATCTTTTGTCACGCTATCGTTCATTCTGGATTGGAAGAAATTAATTAGTGAGAAAAGTGTCCCGATGCGAAAGAGGGTAGAAATGAGAGGACCAAACTTTGCATACCGTTTCGTCAAAGATTAATGGCAGGCGACTCTGTGGAAGATTAAAGTCACCAATTCAAGCCTTGTTTTGACATCTCCGTTGAATTCACCACTGCCTTATGTCGCATAGCATGCTGTGGAAAACAATGCCTAATATTTTTGTTTACTTTACAGGACGCAACGAACTGATAGCCCGCTACATCAAACTGCGAACCGGCAAGACGCGGACGCGGAAACAGGTCAGCTCTCACATACAGGTCCTAGCGAGACGGAAACTGCGCGAATTCCAGGCCAAGATGAAAGTGGTGAGTACGAGCAATTAGCTTTCAACTTCATTTCGAATTGTCCTACCTTTTTATTTAGATCCTTGAACTTGACCCCGAACGCCAAAAAGACTAATTACTGACCTCAAAATACCCACCCCCCACTCCCTAGGACCACACGGGCGTACTGGGACCGAAAGACAAGATGTTCCCGCCGGGCCCCATGGCCGGTATGACTAGTGCACAGATCGTCACGGTAGCAGCAGCGAAAGGGTTAAGCCTAGCGAATCCTTCCTGTCTTCCATATCCTCCTCACCACTTACACCACCACCCGCATCCACATCCCCATGCCCATCACCACCACCATCACCACCTCCACCCCCATCACCCTTCTTCCCACCACCCGCACCTCTCGGCACCCCCGCCACCGCCACCGCCCCCATCGTCGATACATTCTAGTGTAAGCCGGAACTGGAAAATTTCGTTTTCGTTTGTTTTTGTTGCGTCCGCCAATTTGTCTATAGTTGCTGCTACTGCGGTGCTGCTGTTGCTTCTAGTCGATGTTGTTCTTTTGATACACACACACACACATGCATAAAAAATGTCTAACGAGCACGCTTACATGTCCGTGTTCACCCGTGCGCTATGAATGCTGCGTACTAACCACAACAGCACGTGCTTTCATACAAACTGGCATCACTGCCACGACTGACAAAACTGTATGGTTGATCGACCGATTTTCGAACAGAACTCAGCTACGATTTTACAAATCTAATGTCTGGTTTTTCTATAATAACCACGCTCGAGCAGCAGGGACATTCGATCACTTTAAACTGCTTTAGATGAATGTAACCCCGCACTTGGAATAGCAGATGTCCTGAAGAAGTTCTTTATAGGTTATAAGAATATCCAAGGCTGATTGGAATACCCTAATAAACTGGTACCATACACTAACGATATCATAGATGGTTCGTCCATACCACATAAAATTGGGATGATATCCCGAATTGGTGGTTACGCGCTTCTTATGGTTATAGTTTATGCGGGTAGACTTTGGAGGATGTGCCCTAATCATTGAGTTTCTATAGAGGTTCTCCGTTTTTTTTTCTATATTGTACCCAGACTTCCAGAGTCCAGAAATGATATAACAATGCACTGAAACGTTCATAAGCATCTGCAGATGAGGTCAACACCATATGTAATGGTACATGCATAAATCACATAGCATTTAAGCACAAACGAAGTTGCAGACGACTAACTGGCGAAGAAATCAATTAAAATAACGCTGTTCGCTTTTCTTATAAGCTTGTGCCATCAGTCACCAGATGGGCTCGTATTTTTGTTTTGATTTGAACAAAGTTGATTTTGTGTTCAATGATCTTTGACAGTGTGCAAAGAGTGTACCATTTTGTCATTTTTTTAGGCATTTCAGCTTTGAGTAGAGTGAAAGAGATAGAACCAAAACATTCTAGTACATTTAGTGTTGCCATGTGGTTCAATCCAGTAGTAGCATAGAGGTAACTCTAAGACCAGAAGGTCCCGAAGAAACGAGCTCAACTTTTTGGCTCAGCTCTGGTACTATCTTCGGTCCCAAGCTAATCGATTCACCCCTCGAAACCTAGGAAAATCCACTAACCCCTCATTTTATCTGTCAAACTTTCATAGCGAATCAAAACAAACATTGTGTAGTACTAGAATTTCGACTAGAATGGGGTGCGTTAATCATTTGCTTGGGACCAATAGGCTAGTCAAGTAGTGAGCCAATTTCGAACCGATAGCTTCGTATTGATTGTTGGTAGTAGCGTTGCCATGTGGTACACTGAAAAATTACAATAGCAGGTTCGTCACCAAAGTTTTCGAGCCGCTCCGTCTGTCACTTCGTTTGTGATTTAAGGGAGGACGGAGGGTGTTTGGAAGTCGTGACCGGTCATGCATAGGTATAGCAAAATGCTACGAGAAGGGAAGGGGTTGTCTAAAATTGATAAAAAAAAATGCTACGTCATTTGTGAGTGTTCACTTAGCTCCCTAAACTTCACTTTAAAAAACTTTGAATTTTTACTATACATTTGTCGGCCTTTGCTGGGAAAATTTTCCCGAGTATTTGCCAAGCTTCCAAGGAATTTCCCTATAGAGATTTTCACGTCCGGTTGTATTGGTGCGATATGTGAGAGCGTGTTAAGTGGACCCTACACGGTTGCTTTTATTGACAATAATCGTTGACGTCAATACATCGGTATTGACAATAATTCTGTATTCACATAATTAATATTATTGTCAATAAATTGATACGTGTGGGGTTCGCTTTGAATCAAATCTATACAGAGCTGGGCCCTTTTGTAAACAATGCATTTGATCGTCCGTTTGGCGTAACTGGTAGCTCGCCCACGCATACTAACACCACTACAGGAAAGGGGCCAATTTTCCCTCTCTGATGGTAGTGTTAGCATGCGTGGGCGCCAAAATCGACGATCAAATGCATTGTTTACAAAATTAGATACGTCCTGTCGAAAAATTAATCGAGAATTATTCCCATTTGATATTTTTCAACAAATCATAACTTTTAAATGTCGCTTGCAATTGAAATGACGTCTGAGACAAAGTTGTACACGGCCAATGAGATAAAACCAAATTTGAGTTCAGTTTAAAGGGTGATACGGTCAAAATTTGGTCAATATCAACTTGACGTATTTCTTTCAATTTTGCATTTAAAAAACCTGAACACCCCTCATTTTGAAGGTGTGTGTGTAGAATGTTGCTCCTATTTTGATTTTGGAATTCACTCTTCAGTTGTCAAAATGCCGTCCAAGCAAGAAGAGCAGCGTATCAAAATTTTGCTCGCGCATCGCGAAAATCCGAGCTACTCGCACGCAAAGTTGGCAAAATCGCTAAAAGTTGCCAAATCAACCGTTACAAATGTAATTAAAGTGTTTGGGGAACGTTTGTCGACAGCCAGGAAGTCTGGATCGGGGGGAAATCGAAAACCGGAAGCCGCTGAGACGACAAAGAGAGTTGCCGGTAGTTTCAAGCGAAACCCTAACCTCTCTCTCCGAGATGCCGCAAATAAGCTGGGTGTATCGTCTACAACCGTGCATCGAGCCAAAAAACGAGCCGGACTATCGACTTACAAGAAGGTAGTGACTCCAAATCGCGATGATAAACAAAATACGACGGCCGAAGCGCGATCCCGGAGGCTGTACACGACGATGCTGACGAAGTTTGACTGCGTGGTAATGGACGACGAAACCTACGTCAAAGCCGACTACAAGCAGCTTCCGGGACAGGAGTTTTATACGGCAAAAGGAAGGGGAAAGGTAGCAGATGTTTTCAAGCACATGAACTGTCAAAGTTCGCAAAGAAATATCTGGTTTGGCAAGCCATCTGTACCTGTGGCTTGAAAAGCAGCATTTTCATAGCTTCCGGGACTGTCAACCAAGAAATTTACGTGAAAGAGTGTTTGAATAAACGTCTGCTGCCTTTCCTGAAGAAACACGGTTGTTCCGTACTGTTTTGGCCGGATTTGGCATCTTGCCATTACGGTAAAAAGGCCATGGAGTGGTACGCCGCCAACAACGTGCAGGTGGTTCCCAAGGACAAGAACCCTCCCAACACGCCAGAGCTCCGCCCAATTGAGAAATACTCGGCTATTGTCAAGCGGAACCTAAAGAAGACCAAAAAAACTGCTAAGGGCGAGCAGCAGTTCAAGGCAAACTGGCTTTCTGCGGCGAAGAAGGTGGACAAGGTGGCTGTACAAAATCTGATGGCAGGGGTCAAGCGTAAGGCCCGGCAATTCGGATTTGGAAAAGCGGAAGCCTAACTGAATATTTTTCCTGAATTTTATACTAATTGAACTTGAAAAAGAAATTTAATTTGATTTTTTAAATAAACGATTTCACCGATTTACACGCGTTTTCCCTTGACCAAATTTTGACCGTATCACCCTTTACTCATAAATGGCAAAAAGTGCAGGAAGTCAGCGATGAGTAAATTTGTCTCATGTTTTCCTGTGAGAAACCTAAAAAATCTGCCGGAACTCGAGGCAAAATTGGTGTGGTTATAGCGTTTTGGTTTGGAAAATTTACGTTGCCATTTGTTTGGTTTTTCTCTCCGCCAGACTAACAAATTAGACTGGTTAAGAGATGAACTAGACTTCGGCTAAAAATCTCCAAATCAAAATTTTAAACAAAATCCACCAGACTATAAATATATAGCGACTATAATCCAAGCTACTCCGAGTTGTACTGGTGTTCATTCAGCCAAATACGAGCGACTCCGAGTTTGTAGAAACAATTCGCGATACAAACTAATTCGCTTTTCTTACGTATGACATGTACGATTTCAGAAAAGAAGAAGCAAGAATCGTCTATACTCTCAATTAGAATATGTTAAAAGTCTTTTGTCGGAAAATTAAGAAAATCGGCGAATCGAGTCAAATTATAGTCGCTATATTCATAGTCTGGCGGATATAATTTCGATCAATCAAAAAGCGGAACCAATTCAATATATTTTAGACCAACAATTGAAAAAGGTTTCCGAAGTTTTGTTCGTAATAGCTGATGCGCTCTTTTCTGTTGTTGGTCGTGATACGCTTGATTGGTTCCGCTATTTGACAGCTCAATTGGTTCCCGAGATTCTATCCGCTAGACTATGAATATAGCGACTATAGGTCAAATGGGTGTTGAGAAGATTGACAGCTATTTGTTGACATAAAATCAACGAGCGAGTACGATAGGTGGGTCATTGAACAAAGCTATTGACTGTCAATGTGAATTTAATTCATAGCAAAGAGAGCTAATCATCTCGTCATGTCGGAGGTAATCGCCAAACTAAATTATAAATGAGGGCGATGGTACTTGAGTAATTTCCAATGCCTAATCCATAAACAAACATTTTTAGCTTATTGTCACTATACAATATGTAAACGTTGATTTTAGATGCTTCAATCATGTTATTTATGAAAAATAAAAAATTACAACGCTTGCAAGCAATTATACTTTTCTATTTCATTTCACAACGCAAACAGATAGTCATAAATTCAAATGGTCGATAATCTTCCACAGTCATTGTTCGGTGGTGCAAATTTGAGGCAGGTCCAATTACGCACACTAAATAACGTACACACATATTTTTTGCTGCTACATCCACAATCGAAAAAAAAATGATAGAAAAGTACACCTAATTACGAGGGTTGTGCGGCTTCCTCTCGTTTTAGGGCTGATGTAAGGCATAAATTGCTTCGCTTGATGATAGTGATTAGGGCTTCATCGCATCTTCTTTTCACTTCCATCATATAGCTCCAGCCCAACTCTGGAATCCGCGTGTAAATTTCTCTTTTCCATGGGGGCTTTTGACAGCAATCAGTTAAACACACTAATTTGAGGTTGCGTAAAGTTCCGCGTCGAAATCGAAGGCATATTAATAGGATGACGGACGGATGAGACCCGTGCTCGTTTTGTTGTGTGA